TCAAACACCAACACACCAACACGCCACCGCCGCCGATGCCCACGCGCTGATGCCGACTCCATTTTCCACCTGACTTTACCGTACAATGGATCCCGAGGGTCTGGAATTCAATCAGCACAATCTCACTGAGAGCACTGGCTGGTCGCCCCCCCCCCCACCCCTCCCTCACCCCTTCATCTTTACTGGAAAACTGATTTTGGTCTTTTTTTTTTTACGAAGGCAGAACATTGATGGGAAAAAAACGAGAGCAGTGTCAGACGGACTGAGAGCCTCGTTGGAATTGATCCAATCCAGTCACGTCTTTGAACAAACAGAAAAACTTCAAGTACTGGTCGGAGTACAACAAGATCCTGAACTGTACAACACCCACAGTCACGCCCTCTTGTGGTTGGCTGGCGGCAGTGTGACGCTGCCTTCAGTGATGTGATTGTCTTCTGTTACTTTGGTCCATTTTGAATTCGATTTTTCTTCTTCCAACAACAGCTTTGTTTGAACAAAAACGAACAAACCACGGTCAGAGTATCAGAAGGAACATTCCTGGATTCTGTCCTCGTCTGCAGAAGGCATTAAAAAGGTCATCGGCAGAAAAAACACTGATTTTAAACACGGACGTCTATTAACGTGACCTTACGAGGGTCATGACTGTGATGGAGGACCCGCGGCGTCCAGCAGGCGGGGACATAATCGCTGTCATCATCTCATTAACCGCAACGTTATTTGGCCTGACACCGGACAGAAAATGATCGAACGTGCGCTCTCATGTTCCGCGGCCGATGATGTCGTCGTGACGACGCGTTGTCTTTGCTGATTTGAACTTCCATTCATCACTGTACAATCCAGGAATTTCAGCCACTGAACTAAACACGAGGCCTGAAATTGTCCTCGCAGCGTTTGATTTAACTTCAGCCGCTCGCTCAAAGGTTTTATTTACCCCCACACACACACACACACGCCGGGTGCATATAAAAGCTAATTGTGAATTTATATTGCTTTATATTGAATCAAGCTGCTCCTTGTGTTTACAGGCCTGGGTTCCCAGTGATTTCATGTCATTTCTTCTCTGCATCACTGAACATCATCTCCTCCATCGACGACGTCGGACGGAGTTTGTTTAAACAACGACAACGACAGAAAAAAGGATTTCATTTCACTCAGTCCAAACTGAATTCTGACCCCAGTGGTACTGTATGAAGTACTGTATGAAGTACTGTATGAAGTACTGTATGAAGTACTGTATGAGGTACTGTATGAAGTACACCTGGTACTAGTCGACTGAAGTATGAAACTATAGGATGTATGTATTGTAGGGTTGTATGAAAATATCAAAACTGTAGACTGAAATACTGCAATATTTGGTTTCAGTTCAGTAGTTCAGTATCGATTTTCTCACTGTATGGATTTTCTTTAATTAACAATTAACATTATTCCTATGGATTCATGGTTCCCTCTGTTCCAGTGTTAATAACCTGGTGTTGATGATGGAACAGCAGCAGAGTCTCAGACTGGGATCATACATCCTGATATGTATCGTATCACAGCTCTAGTGTTCTGTATCGTGCTGAGGGTGACGTTGGAACAGGCTTCTATCAAACCCTGTTCCTATTGGTCAACGACCAGGAGCTGATGGTGACAGAGATCAGCACAAACACACGGTGAACAGGAAGTCTCTCTGACCTGTCGATGATTCCACACATGTCGATGTGGACGTTGCTGTAGTTTCCCGTCAGTTTCTGCTGCACTTTGATCAGATCCACCTCCCGCTGCTCCACAGAGAACAGACGCATGCAGCCCTGGAAGACATGAAAGGGGTTTCTGCAGCCCTGACCGTCGTCT